AAGGTAAGGACAAAGTACCAGGACACAAACACGAAAAACACCATCTTTAACATTAGTTCTGTTTTAAATACATAACATATGTGTACAAAGCTCAAAGTGGTCACCACACAGAGACAATTACCTCAAAAATATAGACTGAGCTTAAGAAAATACTTTGAGAGGAAAGAACAGAAAAACTGTATTTCACTGAAGACATACTGACAATGTTTGGATGAAAAATTAGTTTCAAAATCTGCTCTTATGGCAAGTAATAATCAAAGCCTTAAAGCTTTCTGTAACTGGCAGCCACTTGGTTTGTGAGTAAAGAAAAACTGGCCTTGTCCTAATCTTTAAGAAAATTATATAAACTCCACTTTCAAGTCATGTCACAGGCTGCTGTACTGCATTGAAACCATGGCTGCTGCTATGTACATATGCATTGTCTGAATGAGTAAGTGATCATGTCAACGCTGCCGTCTTTACCCTGTCTGTTATGTGCAGCGGTGTGCGCAGGAGGTCGGGGCGGGGGACGACATCCAATCATGATCTTTTGCCCTAATAAAACACCAAGGGGCAACAGAGGTTACTAGAGCCGCTTAAGCTAAGCGCTATTTCGGCTCTACTGGATCCCCCAAAAAACACCCCTCAGCTGCCCGTCTAGACAGCTCAAGTGCCCACCTGATCAGCTAAAGTGCCCTTTTGATCCCTCCCACGGCACTTGTGATTAGCCCAAGTGCCCCCTGTGTTGGGCTCAAATGCTCTCCAGTTGGCTTAAAAGAGCATACCAGTGACAAATCTCACATACTTTACCGCCTGACCGTTCTCTAAGCATTCTGCAAACCACATTTCTTTTTCAAGCTGTGCTTCCTACAATGATTGTACAGCTTGTCTGCTAACAATTTTGTTGTGTACTGTACATAATTCAAACCAATAAGTGTCTCAAACTAAATGTAAAACCGTGGCACGACAGGATTCAGCAAATCATGCAAACTTTTTCTTAAAGCTTCCCCAAGTACAGGTGCAGGACAATAACGAAACCAAAACACCCCCACCACACATAGGTGCCCCCCTTTTTCAAACAGTCCCTGGTCCCCTCATACTCTGTGCACACCACTGGTCTGGTCTTTATGGTTTCCTGTATTGCATAAAATGTGTGTTAGCTAATAACATTTAATCATATGAACTCTTACAGTGTGTGCATGTCACATTCCTTTGTGCAGGCTATTGATTATGTACATAAAGTCTAGCTTTGTTACTGACAATCTAAGTTTTAGCTCAATGAAATAATTGCACAATAAGAAAATAACCCTGTATCCACACAAGCTACTTACCTGACTGAGACACTAAAGTGAGGAAAGCGTGTTTAGACAGATTTAAGATGAAGATGTTAAATCTTAAATGTTCAGATTACATATATTGCAATATGTTTATTACAGTGTCAGAGAGAGAGTGAGAGACAGAGAAAATAAGAGAATGTAGTACGTTGAGTAGGAACTAAAGAAGAAGAAAAAAAAAAGGCATTATTAATGTGGTGAAGTGTCCGGTCAGTTTGGATTGAATAAACTGGGGGAATTTCATAAAAGCTTCAATATCTCAATTCAGGAAAAGAAGAAAAGACTATTTACAATAATGATATGTCATTTGAAACATACAGATCTAATGCTACTAGTTTATCTACTAAAGCAGCAGAGATATGCTACAGTGATTTATGGGATGGATTCAGACAAAACGAGGCAGGCTGATGAATGTGAATATGTGGAAAAAGGCTTGAGCAAGGCTGGGTATCACTTTTACTGCTTCCGATTCTGCTCGGCAGTTCTGGTTCTGGTCATAGCCTTTCAAATAAAGCAACCTTTAATTCTCTAAAGATTAGAATAATACTTAAATTGGAGTATATTTTAAGTCTTGGGCATAGAGGAAATGAAATTAATACAGATTACCGCAAAGTTACAACATTACATCTGGCCACACTGTAAAGTACTCCAGTCCAGCATATTGCACCACTATGATTAGAAAGAAATCATCTTTGGGTGTCCGTAATGAGAATACAATAGTGTAAAGGATTCTTAAGAAATCTTTAAAATGGCTACAATTTACCACAGTTCATGATACCCAACTCTTGCTTGAAGCTTCAACTGCGCCGTGTCTACAAGTTGCTGGTAAAACATGCAAATGTGAAAGAAGACCGTGTCTCTGTTCATGTGTAGGTAGTATAATATCATCTCTTCTGAGCCAAATGCTTTAGCTAGAAGAGCAGTAGGGCTGGGATCTGAGCTGCATAGAGTCCATATCAGGACGTAGGTCAGAGACCCACTGCTCACAGATTCCCGCTTTGCTAAACCTAAGCAGGAATCGGCTGGTAGTCAGGGTGATGCGGCTGTAGATGTTTGAGCAGAGCTGGCCTTTGAGGCAGGTTTTCTTCCACACCACTAACACCCCTTTACACCAGAGACCCGAGTTCAGGATGTGTTTTCAAACATAGCTTTGCCACCCTGTTGGCATCTATACCAAACCCGGTGAGATCCCAGTGTCAAAACTCTTAAATAATTAATGTGATGGTGTGACCATTGTCATGTATTAAATGTGCAGCATTGACCTTTTTTTTTTGACCAGTGATCGTTTGTTATACATGCGGGTCATTTGATGTTTGGCTCAATGGTGGTCAACCTGCATCTGATATGAGTCAAGAGCTTGGCAGGGAAAGGGGTGCATGTGGCTTGACCCTGATAACTCAGCTTGGTCTACACAGAGAACTTAAAAAGGGATGGGGAAAAGAGTGTGGGGCTAAATAAGGCAGGATGTGGCCATTAATACCATTCTCTATAGTTAGCTGAGCTGTAGGGCTCATAGAAGGCCTAGAGGTACAAAGGTAAAGAAAGGCTTAAGTCTCGTGCTGCAGGTTGAGGCTCAGGGCAGGGAGTAAGTCCAGGTTTATGTCGGTGTTTGAATCTGGGGCTCTAGGTGGCCTGGTCCAGGGCTCTCAGCAGGTCACAGCCCTGGAGGAGGTGCAGGTTGCCCTGCAGCGGGACATTGACCTCGCAGTCATAGCGGGTCAACTCCGGCAGAAAGGAGGGTTCAAATGAAGGCCCCAGCAAACGACTGGCTATGCCTAGAAAATGACAGAAATAAAGAAAATCCCTGTGTGTCAGTGATTTACTTGTTTATTTGAATTAGAAGACCACTTGACATGAGTAGATTTAGTCAGAGCAAGATGTTAATGGCTGAGTCATATATTCTGCAACGTAAAAGTACTTTAAATTAAACAGAAGACTAGATGAGTGCTTTAACTGTCCACACAGTGATATTAGCTGACTAAAATCTGTAAATGTTAGTAATTCCAGCTCACCCTCACACTTGTTAGAAGGCAGCATGTTATACTCTCTGTAGTCACAGCTCTTTTGGGGAAAGCCTTTTTCATTTCGACCACTTATCCCATTTCCTGCGTACAGTGACTTCCTGTGTTGTTGCAGCGAGTTGAGACATGGAGCCATGTTCCCTGGCATCATTCTCGCCATCTCCGACTCTGAGAGAAGAGAGCGAGAGGTTAAAAAGGTGCAGCTGATGCGTGGAAGAGATGATAAAACATGGTTTCCATCCATTTGCTGCACAAGCATACCTGCCAGTGATCCTGCACAGAGGGAACGATCCATGCAACTGTCACTCCTTATCTTCTTCCATATGAACTCTGGCAGCTTGCTTTCACCCTGAAACAGTCATACTCGATTGATTAGCAGGTTGTGCATGCAGATATTTTTTTAGGCAAACTATCAGACTCAAGAATTTAAATTGTGGTTTGGAAACTAACATGCAATCTTGCGTGGAACACTAATGCCTCAAAATAATGCTTTATGTTACACTGAATACTTTAAGTTGCAGTGGAACTTTTGCAGTACGGTAGGAGTCGGAGGAACTCACCACAGCCATCTGGCTGAAGGAGCGCTTCATACTGTTGGCCATGGCCACTCTGGCTGGACTCATGTCTCTGTAAGCTTGTACAAAGTTGTCGATGGACCTGCATACACAAAGTGGATGAAAAAAAAAATTAATTAATAATAAATAATTGCGGCAATAATAGAGAATTTGGTGGTCAACACCCCTTTTTATTTAAATCATGTTGTTAAGGTTTTTATTCCTTATTCCTTTTAGTCTTATATTTTCACAGTTATATGCATCAAGTTAAATTTTCCTTGAGCACTAAAATAAGAGACTCATAGTTAAGTCACCTCTGTTTCTGCATGCCATGTGGCATGTTCTGCTTGCAGGATGGCCGTTCTTCCAACATCGTGTCCATCAGACAGGCTTTGGTGGGCCGTGGTTGTTGTTGGTAAGTCAACAGCGGGTCTGGTGGCCACTGCAGATTCTGACTGCCACCCATGGAGGACAGCGGGGAGCTGGCTGGGGCCTGGTATGGGGGATTGTGCAGATGCCCCATCATGTATGACCTTCCATGGGGATCTGTATTCCCCTGGCTGGAGACTCTCTTTTCCCCTCCAGCCCAGGATGAAGATGCCGCACGCTGGTAGTGGCCTGGGGATTGGGAGGAGGTGGACAGGGGCTGTAAGAGGCTGGCCACATTGTTGAAACTCTGCTGGGTGGTCTGGTTAGTTTGGGGCAGGCTGGTGTTGCTCCCCATGGATCCTGCTGGAGCTGCCTCCAGGGGCTCTGACTCTGTGACAATGGGATTGAGCTGGAAGTCCTCTCCATCCATAGGGATATAAGGAGCCAGAGTCTCCAGGTCCAAATCACTCAAGTCCCTCTGGATAGCAGAAATAATTTTTGTTTTGTTTTTTCAACACAAATATTTAAGAAAAGAGATCCTTTTAAGCATTTGGTGAAAACTATAAATTATTGCTTTAGACATGTGAGTATTTGTGGCTGAGATAATGCTGCAGTGTTCATAAACTGCCACTCAGTTTAGACTAACAGGATTATGATGATTACATTAGGAACTCAATAATAAAAACATCATTGTGAGCACTAATATTTTATCAGCAGCCACTCAAATATGTAAACCACTGATTTATAGTTTTGTTTAATCCAGTACTCGTTAAATTGAAGAAATACTAACATAAAATGGAAAATGTCCTGGATGCTTTTCTCACAGATTTTATAAGCTAAAGGTCAAAGACACTATAGCAGTAAATTAAAAAGCTAATGATACAGAATACATATGTTGAGCTGGTTAATTCAGGCTTTTTTCTTTGTTTGTCTGAATTAACATAAAATTCACTAACTCTACACAACTTTGGTCACTCACACATATGCACACACACACACACACACACACACACACACACACACACACACACACACACACACACACACACACACACCTCAGTGTTTGCAGAACTGTCTCCCTTTGTGTCCAGAGCAAACAGCTTCTCTGTGAGCTCCACCCTCAGGTCACTCTCCACTGAGCTGTAGTAATCATCTGGGCTGCTGGGCTGCAGAGGTGAAGGACAGAGGGAAGGATGAACAAAAGGAAGAAATTAGATTTGAATGAGAGAAGTGGAGAGAAAGAAAATGATAAACACAGACAAAAAGGACTAATACATAAGAGAAACAAGAGAGATGAGTTTTGACAAAGGCACTATTCACTGCTACGAGCTTATTCCATCCAAATAACCACCCCCGTTATTCTCACACACTCTGCCCAGTTTTAGTGACCTCATCGCACACTGAAAGAATAAACCATGGAACAAGTGTAACCAACCAGTCACTCGCTCACTAACTAATTACTCTTTTCAATTTCACAAACTGGCTCTCAGTCGTGCCCTGTCGCGCTGTCCTCACCGTGGAGCAGCTGCTGAGGCTCGGAGTGGCGCTGCCCGGTGGAGGATTCTGCTGCACAGTGAACGAACCACCGGCCATTTTACCCACGTCCCCTGGAGCTGCAGTTGGGGGTCCAGAGGCATTGGAGGCAGACTTGTGGCTCTCACTGGCCCAGGACGGTGGTCCCGGAGGGGCCATGGCTGAAGCAGACACCTGGGAGTATGCTGGCTGCTTGGGCTCTTCAAACTGAACACGACCTGCGAAAAAGAATCACAAATTTTAGCCAATTTTTTAAAAAAGACAAAAGGAAACTGTATTAAAAAGTTGTTTCTGCTATATTGTTTTTGCCAAAGTAAGGTGGAAGAATACTGTGACCATAACAGACGCAGTAGGAAGTTTTACAGAAATAAATACTGACTGAAGTCGAGGGAAACGATCGTGTCTCCAGGTGTTGGAGCAAGCTGAGCGAGATCTTCCGGCTCCTCTTTGAATTTACTGAAGAGGGCATCTCCAGGCTCTCCGCTCATGCCCACTCCAGGACTGAAGAAGCTGCTCATGTGTCGTGGCTTGAACAGGGACTCCGTCTGCCCCAGGGACAAAATCATCGACTTCTCCTCAATGTCACTACAGATTGGAGAAAACACAGCAAATTTGAACTTTGAGATATAGAAATCTGAATATTTTATGATTAAATCCAGGCAAAGATGGCATTTAATTGAGGGAAACTTGGATTAAAAATGAAGACTCTTACCTGAGGACATAGTTGATGCACACGATGCACTGCGGCTGAGAGTTGCGGCTGTTATAAATGACAGTTCCCTGGGTTTCTACCCAGACGTAACCCCCGTTCTTAGCCAGCATACGATACTGACCGCTTACTGCCTGACCCTTGGTACACACTGCATAAGGAAGAGAAGAAGAAACAAAAAAAGAAGCTATGAATAACATTGGCGTTATTGCTTGCAAGTTTAAAGCAGATATAAAACAAAATTTTCCTGAAACTGTGAGCATACTTCCTTTATTCTTCAAAAGTGGCACACTGATTTGACTTGAAAGTGAATGACACTGAAATAATAATGTCAGGATCTGGAACATTACATGTCTTTAGTTTTAAAAGTCTCCAACTTTTACTGGTCAGGGTTTTATTAAGTCATTTCTCCATGTTCACCTTTTGTTGTCATTTTTATTAGAGTCTTTACATAACGATTTAAAATGCCATGAGATGACTGTTGACTGGCACTAAATAAAACTGCGCTGAATTTGATTTCAGCTACTGTCCTCAAGTGTACAGGACTGCTTTAAACAGGGCCAATGTAATCAGTGTTCTTCCTTATTACTCAGAAATGACTCACTGAGAGTAGTTGTTGAGTTTTTGTTGTTCATGCGTAAAATTGTGACGCGTTCACATTGTTGTATATCCCAGTGAGTAATCTTCTGACGAGGAAACAAAACCAAAGAGAAAATAAACTGACGGTTCTTTTCAGTCTGTCGATGTCAATGACAGATGGACTGTTTAATCTTCTGTGTTGCAACTTTCCAATCAAAGGTCACATCAGTAGTAAAGTTGATAAGCCTCAGGCCAGTCAAATTAGAAGACTGTGTAAACCTTCAGTACTACTTATTAAAAGATTTATGTGAGTTTATGTATATATTGGAGCTTGCATGTGTACTTTTGACCATGTGTGTATTAGAGGAAATCAATTTTTGCTTTTTAAGGTTATTACAAGAACTATTCTAGGAAGAGAACAGATCAAAGAAAGTATTAAAGTCATGCCCATTTGGAGTGCCTGTAAAATCTTGACCACAACTGTATGTGGTGGATTTTTATACTTTGTTTTTATTTAGGTGTTTAAAGTCCAGATTGGCTAATTATTTGTTAAATATTTGCATAATCCTTTAAAAATCAAGCAAATATTTGTAAGCGGGACAAGGCGGGATGTTTGACTTTGACTTGAGAAGGAAATGTTCTGGCTACAGTCCAAAGTTCAGCACTGGCGTGGGAAAGGCGTAGGAATGGTCACAAAGCGTACATAAGGCCAGTGACTCCCTGCCCCCCCCCCACACACACACACACACACTAAGTAAGAGTGTTGAGAAAGCTTGGGGGGGACAACACTGCATGTAGCAGAGAACACTGTTAGCATGTGCTGATCGACAGGCTGGTCACGTTGGCCGTGAGAGCGGCTCGTCTGTGTTTGTGAGACGTTCAGATGGATAGAGAGTCCTTTATCTTGGCAAATGTCAGACAGCTAAGGGCTGCGGATGCAGATGACTTAAGATCAGTGGAAAGAGAACATGGCTAAAAGAAAAAAAATTCACATGCAGCACACTAAACAAAAACCTGAGGACTACAATCCTCTTTCAAGTCACTTTTTTGGTTTTTGTTGACATGCAAAATTAAAGTGCAGCGAGACCAAAAAAAAAAAAAACATGTCTAAAAGGTCAACTTTGGAAGTGCAAAACTTCAAAAGACAACTTGGTATCAAACAATCCCAATATGTGCTGAAATATTTCTGTTTCAAGCACAATGGATCTGTTTTTTAAGCCTATTGTTTTTTTGTTTTTTGAGCCAACCTTTCAAAGTAAGTCTTTGATTTAAAAAGTCATAATAATTTGACTTTTGTGAATGTGAGTTATTGTTTTGTTTTTTTTATTTAAAAAGAATGCACTTATTACCCCAGATGCTTTTAGATATTATTACTTTGGGCCTGCGGTGTTTTTTAATCCATCCAGACAGTTTCAGTGTGAATTACCATTTTTGGAAATATTGTCCATGTTCTCTTTAATACTAAAATATGACAGTCATATTCTATACTTCTTATGGTTATTGAAGTATCAAAAACAGAATTTAAAAATTTGCATTTAAAATTGCACAAAATAAATCGATCTTTAATTGTAAGCAGTTTCCCCCATAAACTATTTTCATTCAGTTAAATTACACCCATAAACTGCATGATTGTGGAGAAAGACCCAACTGTGATGAGAGGCTCGTGCTTGGCTGTATGCATTAATGTCATCCAGTCTCTATTGAGGGTAATGTTAGCTAGCAGCATGTTTTATCTGACTAGTGAATGGAGAAAATTGTAAAACCACAATTTGTCTTTATGATTTTGGACTAATTGAGTGTGGAAAAAGTTGTTGGTTTATTTTATTTTTTACTTCATGGTAAGACAGGGAGAGTGCTTTTAGTTTAATGAAACAGGCAGCAAAGACTTGTACAGCTCTGAAACTCACACCATAACAATCTAGACTGAAACACACCACTACAGGCTACAGGGGGAAAGTATTTGGGTTGTACTGCTTCTTTAAGTTTCTGCTTGACATCTTTTTAAATGATGAAAGTTTTGGATGAAAATATTATTTTCTGTGAAAAGTAAAATATCAAATTAGGTACAGTTTTGTGTCTTGATGCATGCTCAATCATCCAAGTAAGGAAAGTTGATTCTGGTCATCTGGATGTAGCGAATCAACTTTTTGGAAAGTACAGTTTTACTTTTCAAAGAAAATATCAGGATTAGTGTTGGCCCAGATATGCCAGGAGGGAAAAAAAGAAAAAGAAAAGCATAATCCTCTTTGTAACAAGAGCATTTTTTGCTGTGTACACACACACACACACACACACACTATGTTGCAGGGGTGGTTTTAAGGAACTAAATTACCACTTTCCCTCGTGCACTGTCAAAGCCTCTAATGATACAGTACTGTCAGTGAAGAGAATAGCCATGACACTTCAGAGCCTTGTCCACATGCACACGCACACACACACTTATTAGATTGTAATAGAGGCCACCTGGTCCCCTGTCCACTGTGTTTGTGGCATCAGATGTGCAAACCTCATCAGGCCATTAGTGGATGCACCTAATTTAATAACAGACATCTTAATACCATGTTGCTGCTCTTTACATACACACAGACATCCACATATGTCTAAACAAGGATAAATGTATTTGTCTACCTAAAACATAAATAAATAAAGAAAATAAAAATAAAATTTAATGAAACAAAAATGTCTGACAAGAAAACCCCCCCAATATCTCCACTCAAACTTTAGGCTGTATTACCAGCTGACTACAAGCTTGAAGCGTTTAGCTGATCTGGCTAGTGATTATGCAGTTTTTACATCCTGATCACTAAAATTAGAGTTCATTTAGGGAATCCTTCAAAGTAAGTTTGGGTGACCGTGGCTCAGGGGGTTGGGAAGCGCATCTGTAACCGGAAGGTCGCCGGTTCGATCCCCGGGCTCTCTGTCCTGGTCGTTGTGTCCTTGGGCAAGACACTTTACCCTACCACCTACTGGTGTTGGCCAGAGGGGCCGATGGTGCGATATGGCAGCCTCGCTTCTGTCAGTCTGCCCCAGGGCAGCTGTGGCTACAATCGTAGCTTGCCTCCACCAGTGAGTGAATGAATAGTGGCATTGTAAAGCGCTTTGGGTGGCTTGAAAAGCGCTATATAAATCCAATCCATTATTATTATTATTAAGTGCCTCGAATGTGCCATTTCAAGATGGCTGCCAATACTAGCAACCATGCAGAAAGGCTCTAATTATTGTTTAAGAGTTGCTCCATATTTCATCAGGTTTTTGAACCAATCGCTTACTGCTACGAGCAAAATCTGAGGACACGCAGGCTTAGATCTTAGCTAAAGGCTAACTACACGTGCAGATTGTGTTCATAGCTGAATCACCGTGGCTTGTTTTGCTTCATATTTGATGTTTGAGGCGTTCAAAGTCTTTTTTAAGGTCCGAGCGTGTACTTACAGTTTTGATGACTCTTGGTGACACTGTCTGAGTCCAAGGCGTGGTAGAAGTCGTAGATGGAACGACCCAGCAGATCCTCGGGAGTGTAACCCATCAACTCTGTTACCCTGGAACACAGACACAGACATCTAATAAGACACGGGCTTTTACTTATTATTTGAACTTTTCTCACATGTACGACTCAAAACACAAATCCTGCACTTCATCCTGAACTTAAAAAGACATCATGTACCATTTGGAAATCAAACTGAGCGGTGGATAGATTTCCAAAAATAAGAATTGCTCGTTCTGTCTCCAACCTCCCGGTGCTTCTGGGAACAGCTAATCTCTCGTCTCTCATCACAAGTTCACGTTGTTAATCAGGATTTTGTTGCTGGCTTTCAATAACCACGTTTATAAAACTCCCTTTTATTTCTCTCCAACTCTTTTGCCAGTAAGTAGAGGTTTTGAGAATAAATAACAGGATTACTGTAATCTGATTACAGGTGCACTAATTTAAATGAAGTTTTTGAGTGCTGAAAATAATTACATACTTAGCTTCAGGCTGTTTTGACAGCAAATACACTTATTTATATACGTTATTAACTTTAGTTTAATTTTGACTTCACTGAGAAGCCAACAATTAGGCTAAGGGTCAAAAGCAGAGCCTCTTCCAAACAAACTGTGCTGTGAGAACATGATGCAAACCTACAACAGGAAATGGGCCCCTGAAAACAAGGTTTTATCAGGATAAGGAGACCAGGGAGGGTAAACTGGGACCGAGAATGAAGATAAGTTGTACTTAACCCAAATTAAAGTGCTAGGAATGTGATTTTATTTAACTCCAACTGCCACCAAAATGTTTCACTCTGGCATGAGGATATAGACTCCATCACCTTGGATAAGCAAGCTGCTAACTGAGTGGATGTGACTCAGAGTTTAGGGATAGGATACACTGCAGCATAAAAAAAAAGGTTTCAAATTTCCAATAGGTATAAATGTACGCTTTCACTCCGTTTTATCCTATTTGTACCTCTGATCATCACACTCAACATTTTTTGATGTCAAATCAGTTAAAATACAGTTTTCATCATCTATATTGCCCTTTGGATAGCTTTGGAGGTGTGAAGCCAAAGTTTCATTGAGATGAACAGTCAGCGGATGATGATGATGCGGTGGATTTATTGTGTGAGGGACAGAGTGAGAGGTCTGGTGATGCAGACCCTCAGATTGCATAACGCTGACAGATGTAGTGAGGAAAGGGAGGGAAGGGAGGAAAGGGAGGGGATGAATGTCTGGAGGGAAGAGCAGTACATAGGCACAATGGGTTTTAAAAAAAAAAAAAAGAGACACATGAAAAAAGGAAAAAATGCATTAAGGCCAGAGAGGAGAGTCAGAGTGGGGAAAGAGACGAAACAAAAGCATTAATAAAACATGGTCACAACTAAAATAGCTTCAAATTATAACAGTGATGATTACGATGGTGATTGCTTTCTTTTCTTTCCTTCCATTCATTTCCTCCATGTTAAGTACGTACAAGCGTTTCACTGTTATTTTTATGTTATTTTGTATCACGGCGTACTTTACATTATTACAGATATAAAAGTAACAAATGACAGTAAGATCAAAGCAGAGGAGCACATTACCCTGCGGGCTATCGTCTGCATACGAATGATTTTATATAAATGTTTGAATTAAAACTCTAAAATTAATTAATGCAGGAATCAACGCTACACAAATTGTATCTAATTTAGTGTAATATTTGGGTCAATGTCCCTGTATTACTGATAAATCTACAACATGCACTGTAATAAGTAGTGATTACTTGCATGACGTTTCTGACTGACACTTAAAAGTAACATAGTACACACAGAAGTGTTGTCCACGTCTAAATTATCCAAGTTGTATAACTTTAGAACTTCCCTTTGTGTCCTTTTGTGTTTGTATTCCTTATACTGTAGAATTGAGAATATAGCCAATAGCCATACGTCATTTATAAAGCTGGTATTTAATCATAAAATGGACTTTCTTACTGTACTTAGTAAATTATAAAGAATCAACAGGGATATTGAGGGGAGGAAATAATTGTTCTTCTTAGGTCAAGCAGAGTTTAAGCAAACTAGAAGGTTAAACTTCTGATTGTTACCCCTCTTGAAGAACTAATTATTCCTAAGTGATAAGTCTCTGTTCTTTCCCCCTCTCTCTCCTTCTTTGTTTCCTCCATCTCTCACACTGCCAGGCATGAGCTGAAGAAACTTTCCGTCCCTCCTCTAATGAGTGTAAGTCTCTGCTGAGCCAGGAGGGTCGCCCCACCTACAATAAACTCATTTGCGTAATTGGAGAGAAGATTTAGGCGGCTATTAAATTGCACTAAAAAGGGTGAAAAAGAAAATGGGCTCTTGTTTGTAGTGCGGTCACGCACAGACCTGTGCATGCAATACACAAAAGGAACATTTCTCTTGCATGAGAGGCTTGATAAGATTACAGATTTGCGTGCATGCGATTGTGTAACACCAATCTGAAAATGCGTTGTGTTCCCTTCTCGTGCCAGTGGGAAAGAAATATCTGGGCGCAAACTATGAGGTCCTTTGGGTTTAAGATAGCTGCTTTTCATGCTAACCTACAAGTGACGAATGATAACTGACACAATGTCAGATGTCATTTTGTTTGGCAGCTTTAAAAATGTTTCAGCTTTAGGCTTGTTCACGATCTAATCCAGGGTCATTAACACTTGGCACGCTCTGACAACGTCATGACAGCGCCTTATTAATTTATGTTTCATCACCAACTTCTATTTTCTTACCTGCTAAGTCAACACACTGCAATCGCTCAAATCTTCTGTGTGTGTGTGTGTGGTGTGTGTGTGTGTGTGTGTGTGTTGTGTGTGTGTGTGTGTGTGTGTGTGTGTGTGTGTGTGTGTGTGTGTGTGTGTGTGTGTGTCAGACTTTAAGGGTTGTGTTTTAATTGGCAGCAATGTGAATCTGCTGCTCTACTGAACTCTGCTGAGGTTCAAACCAAATATAGGTGCATAATATATGCTTCGGTGAATATATTTTTATCATTTAATACAAAATCTAAAAAATATGTTTCTGCCTACCTCTCGTCACAGTAGGTGAATTTCATGTCCATGCTGTGTCTGCTCAGGAAGGTCTTGCTGTCCAGCGGCGTGTCGATGTTGGACGGGTGTGGTATCGGTTCGCACATCAGGACAGCGCATGTGAGCGGAGGCTCTTTGAAGCCGCACAGCACTCGTGGAGGGCAGCTGTTGTACATCCTCAGTTGTCCAGTGCAGTGAAGCACCTGAGGAAGAGCAGCAGGAGTGTAAATGGAGTTTACACAGTGTCAGAGTTACCCCTGTGGTGAATAACATGCAGCCATAGCGCGATTATTACAGTTTTCCCTATCTGAGTGTTCATATTTACCATGACGCAGACACCTATTGTAGTGGTCATGTCTTTTTTGGCCCCACATTAGTCGATATTAATGGCCAGGGCTGCGATAGTTTCTTCAAAAAACGGTAAAGTACTTACCTTTGAAAATAATGCTTTGCATTACTGCTATACAACCCAGAGAAAGCATTTCTCTACACTATTTGTTACACTACTTGTGTTGCTGCACAAGATTGCTTGTGGAATTTCTATTTAAGGATATAACATTAAACTTTTAATATGGGCTTCTAGACTCCTACCAGCATGAATTGCTCTGGGGTGAATCTAGGCCTCAAGGGCCGGTGTCCTGCAGGTTTTAGATCTCACCCTGGGTCAACACACCTGAATCAAATGATTAGTTCATTACCAGGCTTCTGGAGAACTTCAAGACATGTTGAGGAGGTAATTTAGCCATTTAAATCAGCTGTGTTGGATCAAGGACACATCTAAAACCTGCAGGACACCGGCCCTGAGGCCTGGAGTTCCCCCCTGTTCTAAACCCTACTTGTGTCCAATATGTGGCTAAATCTATTCACATTGTAATAATCTCATTTTGTGTGTGCAGTTGCTGCAGATGTGATGCTTTGTAGATGTAGCAGTTGTTACCTTCCAGCTGGCTGACTTGAGGTTGACGGTGCGTCCTCTGTTGGTCACCGTGCATTTCATCCTCATGAAGAAATCTCTCTCTGTGCTCAGCTCTTTGCATTTTTTACCAAAACCACTTCCTGGAAGAAACAAAAAAACAGTGTGTCAGAATTCATCATCTGAATCATCATACAATAATACAATGTCACTGAGCAGGGGCAAACATAAGCATTTAAATGATTCAGATCCTGCTCTTGTGAACAGCTTTTTAGCTTTTTGCACAGTATATAAAATTCGCTTGACATTAAAGCATAATAATATATGGATCCTATAAGTATGAGGAGATTTAAAACAAAGTTCAGTGTCTTTTGGGGTTTTTTTTGCAATATAATAAACTGGAAGTTCACTCCCTTTATCTCCCTTCCAGCTTAGTCACAGAGGACTTGGAAAAAATAGGCCAAGTTGTTACATCACAAGGTCAGAGTTCAGCCCCGGAGCTGCAGCCACAAAGCAAAGAGAAGTGTGTCTTTTGTCAAACTCCACGCTTAAAAGTGTGTCTCTAACTCCATATGGTTACACTTGAGCAAAACAAACACCACATAAATGTTTCCCCGACACTTACAAGCACGTTCATGTTCAGATGTGAATGAGTGTGGAGTGAAAGTGCGTTAAATAGAGAAGGTCTATAAATCAGAAGGTATTGTTCTGCTGGTGTGCTTTGTGGCCACTGCTGATAAGAGTTATCAACCACAGCACAGCGAGTGTGACCCTGTGTGTGTGCAGGAGAGAGGGATGGAGTAGAAAGTGGATTCACAGACAGAAAACATGTAGTATGGGTGTACTTCTGGCTCTGCTTTGCACTGCATGTGTAACATACTAAGGTCACTATCTCTACCCCATAATGCCTTGTTCCTCTCTCAGCGCCTTTCCTCGTCTGCTCTTCCTCACGGTAGCAGCTCTTATCTGCTTTCCTTTGCACATGTACTTTACAACTCTACTTTATCTGTTTATAGGTTCCTCTCTGTATGACCTTTGAACTTTTGTTCTCATGTTTTTTCCCCCCTTGTGGACCCATCAGATGTAGAATATTAATAACCACACTCTGTTCATGTTTTAAATTGTTTTGCATAGATCATTTCTGTCCCACAAGTAAAAGCAGGAGAGTTGAATGGCTCTGTAACAGTAAGAGCTGCAAGGGTGTACAAAGCATGTGGAAGATGTCAGGCGTTACACAGATTTACTATTTCAGAAGAATGATTTTTCATCCTCAAGTAAACTCAGAGGATATAGATGTCTGAGGGTCCATTAAATACTTTGGTCACTCCTAGATAAGACAGCTGCTGACAACAAGCTGACAGTACTGTGGAATATTATCGTCCTGTAGGATTGTAGGATTTACAGGCCCCTGAACTTTCCTCTAGCACCAAAGCCAGCCAAACACTTCTAACTAATCTACATTGGCCTCAATATTGAGCCACAGGTACATGAAGTGAAGAACCTTTCCAGGCTATATTAGACCAAAGGTAAAGTGCACATGTCTGCAAGTATGCACGGTGTGTTTAAGTCAGTGTTGACATCACCCACACTACACTACAACACAGCAACCACGCTTGAATCTTCCATATGGACAGCTGTCTATTCACAGCCGTCTGCATAAGTATCTGCAAAAGCATATCAGCAACTGTGCATTCAGTTCTCAGAAGTTCAAAGGTTTTTAGGAAGAAAATGGGCAAGGATTTCAACAACTCCTGAATAATCATTTAATTTAAATTCCTTAGATCCTAAAAAGTGAGCATTTATCTGATGGAATTAGCCACTGACATCAAATCGAGTCAACGCCCGGACCAGTGAGACGTGTTTGGGCAGCACAAGGGATTTTGTTAATTATGTGGCCGAACTGTGTAGGCGGGAATAAAGGGCATAAAAGGAAAATTAAAAAAAAAAATCAATTAAAAACAAAAAAAACAAAAACAAAACAAAAAAAAAACCCCACACTATTAAGAAGAAGAAAACATGCTTATTATGACTTAATGTCAAGGTTAACACAGTCATTACATCCCTCGGCCCACATGACAGGAGCTGGAAAGTAAGCCAAGCTGTTACATCACAAGTGAGAGTTCAGCGTTTGCGCGATGCCTCGGAGCCAAGAAATTAAGTGTCTCTTGTGTCAAACTCCAAACTCACAAGTCTTTATCTCCGTATAGCTAAGGTTGAGCAAAACAAACACCAGACGAACGTCTCTTCAGGCCAAAAACAACTGCGTACGTTAATATGCGAGTGACTGAGTGAAAGATTTAAATAGAAACAGGCCTATAAAATATAAAGTATTGTTCTACTTGCAAGTTTTGCGGCCAGTGCTGATAAGCGTTATCAACACTCTGTGTGTGCTTATATTCTATATATACACACATGCAGGGGAAAGAGTTCGAATTCTCAACAAAAAATAAATAAATAAAATAAAAATCACAAAATCCTGCCTCAGAGTTTGTTTGCGTTAACATCAGCTGATGACATTTTATTTCACTGGAGTCACGCTGCAGATACGTAACAGCAGTGCGACTACACATACTGAAGTAAAGAAGTCACACCGGTGTCACTTGTCCACAGAAATGTCCAGAAAGCAGCAAACTAACACAAGATTAGTTTATTGTCTTTTATAATTGAGGCGACTGTTGTTGTGATTTGGCACTACATAAAAAAAAATTGATTTGAAATCAGAAACAACTAGAATTAAAATACAAACTCTAACATGATTGGGGGAAGTTTACTTAGATTATGCCTCCAGTTATCCAGCATGGCTGCATGACTTCACACTTACGTAATCTCAAAATGCTGTGAGTGGACCTAATGAACCACTGCCACGATTTCAAATAAGGAAGTTAGAGTATGTACAGGCAATTAATATGAGGCACACTCTCGGGCTTAGATAATACACAGTTTAACACAGTTTCTTTTGCTCTTGTTACTGTATGATGTCATTGTGAGTAGATTTCCCAATATGGTCATGAAAGCCGACTCAATACGGAGGGTGACCATAAATGAGGAGGAGCTGATTTCAGACAGAATGAACTGAAAGGCGAATTGTTCCTTTACTAACAATATGAAGCTGGTAATGAGTATTACAGGTGACCTTTAAATGTTTCCAGTCTGAATCAAAGCTTAGGAATCTTGTCTTCTTCGAAGACTTAACTATTTGTATTGTGAGCATCTTTTAAGTGTATTTGTTTTTTTAATTATTTCTTAATTTGGGTGGTATTAATGCTCTCCAGTGAGTTGCTTAATTTGTTTTCTGTTACATACATTCTATGATCTCCTCATGGTGACGTGGGTGGGACAAAACATCAACTTTGTACACAGGATATCCTATTATCTAATGGGCAGCTTAGCTTGTGAATTGCTGAGCAAATTTATTCTTTTATTGAGTAGATAAGACTCCACAGACATTCCTCTACTTTATTTCAGGGGGCATTTTCTGATAAGGAGGAGAATGAAAAGATCACTTGTCATGTCAGAATGACTGCATATTTTTTTTTAATCAGTAAACCATTATCAGGTGACTGTAACAGTTGTCATAGGTGGATAGAAGATAATGCGTATGAGACTGTGTACTAACCAGTCGTCTTCAGACTGAGGTTTTCTCTGATCTCCTCATGGTCGCATGGGTGGGTGAAGTCAAAGATGCTGTGACCAGTAAGCTCCACCTGAAAAACAAAAAGCAAACAAATAAATAAAAATCCTGAAATAAGGAATGTTAAATAAAGATATACAATTGCCTTTCTGTTACAGTTTTCTCTACATTTTACAGTAGTTGTTCCATCAGTTAGACAGGCTGCATATTTCTTTTTCTGGCACCAGCACCAGTAGTTTTGTTTGGGATAAATAGATGAAGAGGGGGTAGTGAGCGTGAGTAATGGCGGCCACCATGAATGAACAAATGCACAAAAGTGTGTCACCTCCAGAAACACAGAATGCTTCAACACTAAACAAACAAAACTTTAGCAGCTTGTGATTGTAATCCTCCGATAACCAGTCAAGCTGCACTTTCTATGCAGTTTATATTTGCCCCATATAATATAAAATATGTAATGAACACACTAAAAGAATAAAATTTGGACATCAAAGACAAGTGTCCAACCAGAAGTGAAATGTGTTCTCCTTCTGTTCCACAGCAACGGTGTAAGGAGTGAAGGAAGACCACTAAGTTTTTGGACAAATCTTCTACCACAAATGATTTTCTTCCAGAAAATCCACTTAAGGGACATAAAGTTCAGGCAAATGGGTCACAAGGAAAGCCTGAAATCAGAAAGCTGAGGGCAGCGCAGGGTCGCAAAGCAGAGCTTTTTTTTCAGCGTTTACAGTAAACTTCTCCTTTACGATTTGCTGTTTAAGTTGGTGCCAGAGAGGGTGGGGAAAGAAAATGCATAATGTGTTTATAGTTGAACCTCACCGTCTTGACTGAACACACACTGCTGGCATGACAGGCATTTCACATAAACACACCCCTCTCTCTCTCCTGAGTACCCGTTAACATCCACATCTGCGTCCTGTCTGACTGGGTTAATGTCTTTCTTCCAATCTTCTTGAGAAGTTAAAGAAAATTAAAAAAAATCTATCCACATGTCACGTGCAAAGATGTTAGACGTTGGTGATGTTTATGACCTCTCAAAGCACTTTAAACTACAAGCCAAATTCACCTGTATTTATATAGCACTTTATTCTGTGTCTGTGGACGGCCCCCCCCCTCCCTGCAAAAACAAAAAATAGCATCAACTATGACTGCGTGCAAATAAACAGGAACTGATCACATTTAGAAGTGTCTGCACTTGTCTGTTTATTTAAGTGTTCTTTAATGGCTGTGTACCTGCGTGAGTCCCATGAATTTGTTGATGTTCTCGGACAGGAAGATCATGTCACCATCTGATGTTACTACGGTGATGAAGCCCTCCAGAGACTTCAGGTACAGGCTGTCCATCTGTCCGTTGTCCTCGCCGTCGCTGCTGCTGCTGCTGCAGCCTGGAGGGAGAGGCAGCAAACAGGAGACGCTTACAAATGGTTTCTCATTCAGTGCTGATTATAAATGGATATCATTGTGAATCTGTGTGTGTTTGTGTGCACGCATCAGGTTTGTTTTCCCTCTTGAAGCTTTGGCTCGGGGACAAAACAAACCACTGTAGCTTCTTCCTGCATCTCCGGCCACCCCTGATCCTCGACCCTGACAAACTGCTCAAGCGGTGCCCGCTTTTAGGACATAACTTGCAATTATGCTCAAATACACTCAGCGCAGTATCCAAACATTTACACACAGTGACTCCAGTCTGTCCACAGTGTCTTGTTTCAGCTAATTGATAGAAAAAAAAAAAAAAAAAAAAAAAAACACCTCTAGCCTCGAGCTGGCCCCAACTCAAGAGGCAGGGCGTATGTGTTTGCAGACGCTGGCTTCACGCTGAACAAAGCCCAGTAGTTGATGGGGGTGGAGGATGGGAAGCTTGCAATTCCTCTAGTGTGTTTCCCTGAGATAAGAGAGAGCAACTCTCAAGGCTTCCAACGAGGCCTGGGGCTTGAGTTTGGAGCTGGGCCCAGATAGCATTAGCCCCTGGAGGAACCGGAGCTTTCACATGGGCCCCAGGGAGCTGGGGAGACTCTCAAGGCTCTATCCAAAGACCAGCGCCACCTTTGGCCTAAATACTAAGCTGTGATTACCAGTCATTTGGACTGAGTTGCACTTTTTTTCTCTGTGCTGTTCTTTGGTTGCGTAACTGCCCTCGTTTCAGAATAATGGGGAGCAGAACAGAGCGTTTGATAGGGACAGCTGCTGCTAAGAGAATCATTTCCCCTCTGTTTTCTGACATTTGTCCGGTCATACTGGACAGAATGAAGGGACAGAGCAGTGAGGCAAAATGAGTTTCTCATAATATGAACTCAGAACATTATGTGACTGTCATAGTGGGAATTCTTTTTCCACCATTTTCCTGTTCATCACGTTTGTAAAGACAGAATATCTGGTGCATGCTTTCACATGCCAAACAAAAGAGATAGTATTCAGGGTGTGCTACACATTAGGACGCCACAAGAGAAAACCTTGACAATGTCACCTACCCGCTTCAGGGACTGAGGCTCAAATGAGCATCTATTTTTGGGGTTAGGATTTGATTTTAAAACGAGGAGAAGAAAACGTGAAACTGAACAAAAACAAATATTTTCTTTCTTTCTTGTTGATAGAGCCTAAACTGTCAGAATAGTTTTGTTAGGTCAGTAAATGCCTGAAGGGAACCAGTACATAAATCTAAAAGTAAGGCACAATTTCGATAAGTACCATTAAAAAAACAAAAACAAATACATGACACACAAATTGTGTTCTGAAAAGATGAGAAATATTCAGTAATGAACGCAACCAAGAATAGAAAAAAGAAAAAAAAAAGAAAAAAAAAAAGAAAATCCATATGCACATCTCCAGTTGAAGAGTTGTCTGTCATTTATGCACATGTTACTAAAGCAGTAACTTAATATAAAAGCACTCTACTGAAAACATCTGTTACAATAGTTGTTTGGAAATTTCTATATTTTTTCCCTTATTTTGGTCAATCTGCTTTTTATTCTACTGCTTATCCAATCGTTAGGGTTGCTGGAATGCTGAGCACATCCTGGTTGTCATGAAAGAGACGACGGCGCATCGCAAGGCTAACAATGAGAGACATTCAACCACTTACGCCCACATTCACACTCAACGGCAATCACCCATTAACAACAGGCAGGGCTCTGCTGGACAGTGGGTTCAAACTTAAACTTTTTTCTTTTTGGCAGATGATTTCAGACAATCCCAGTCTTGGTCAGGAGATCAGGTGGTTAGAGCCAGTCTTGTGTCACTAAGACTCTGAACTGATGCTGTGCTCATAATTTTAGTTTTAAAGCAATAAAATAGGCTAAAAACACTTAACACTTTTAAGTATCTCAAGTATATTTATTTTGATTTCCATTAACTTCAGCTGTTTGTAGTCTTTGAGGGGGCCGCATTCTCAAAATATGTTATAAAAACATGTATAAAATATATATAAAAGTAGTTGCTTAAAATCTGGGAAAATATTTATTAAAGCATGAGGAGCAAAATGAAGAGACGTGATCAGGATTTCAGCATGTTCTATCATATATTAGAGCTGTACGAGGTGCAATTATGTGTTTATTTTAAATTATTTATCTTAAGTTATATGCTAGGAAAACGTTAAGCATACTAAAGATACTTTTTAAAAAATGCAAATTATTAATATATTATGAACTCAATTGAGGGAACTTGCAATTTGCCAGAGAACAAATGGCGTACAGATGAAAACAAAATATTTGGCCGTCTGATCAAAGGGCAGTAAATCAGTATATTTCCCAAAATGTAGGACTCTACTTCAAACACAGCTGGGACCTCTGCAATTAGGAACGCATATGTTTCACAGTATTTTGATCCAAGTTAAGTCAAAGTCGAGACAAAAATACAGCTGAATCCTTTGAGTACCTCCTAATCAGTACATCAAAGTTCATCAGGTCCCAACTGAGCGTAAGTTACTTAAGGGAGGTGTTCCCTACAGCAGCTCTTGGGTGCACATACAGTATGTTTGTGTGTTTGTGAGGGTGCATTCCAGCATGTTTGGCGCCAAGGCAGTCGGCTGTTATGGCTAGCAGGGGTAATGCCAGCACCAGCCGAACGATGGGCAGAGCTCTTCGTTTCCTCCGCAATCTGTCCTTCCATCACGGAGCAATCAGACCGGCCTGATAATGCTGTATCTGCAGCTGCATCTCACGGATCTCCTTTTGCTCTCCTCCCCTCTCACCCGCTGCTTTCCTACCCTCATTACCTTTACAGCTCCTCCCCGTGCACGCCTCCTCCTCCTCCTCTCGTTCGCACTTGTTAACCTCTCCTTTACATACATCTCATACATACTCCCCCCCTTTAACACTTCTTTAGCTATGCGAGCACGTCTGACAACCGCTACTGGAATTTCAGGAAATGTTAATTACCCTAAATTGGTTGTATCACCCAAATGACTTTTGAACCCTGCTTTTGAGTGCTTTGAGAAAGTTTCAGTAGCTACCATTGTGTTTGGATAGAGGCAGATGTTTTACAGGTGGATATCTCAAAATCTTGGAATTTGAAACTGAAACCATTTGCATTTTTATCTCTTTTTGTGGTTAACTAACCCTTTAACCTCAGGCAAACGCGCAACGAATGTGCTGCTGGATTGCTTTTTTTTTTTTAAATCTTTGTAAAACACCCTGATTAATTGTTCTTTTTTTAGTGGAAACTCAGCCCATATTCCACATCTTTATCAAGCATCGATTTCATTTGTGTAATTTGTGCGCTAAAATCCTTAAAACTACTTGAGATGCTAAATGAATAAAGAAACGACACATAAATGCTCTGATTAATGATCGTCTACAAAGAAGAAATGGGAAGTAGTGATCATTGTTGTTTAAGGAAGCACTGGTTGAATGCATGGCTATTTCCTCTGCGAACAATGAAAGTAGTCAATCATAAATAAAGAGCAATAAATAGAAAAATCAAAAGTTACATAAGAATAGACTAATGGCAGTCTAAAGATTTACAGATAAGTCTAAGGTATGGCATTAATCACAGTGCTTTCCTGTGTTTTATTACTATGGTGTCGTAGAGCTGACAGCTTTTATTAATTGCTATAAAAATGGTTTTAAAGAAATTATAAATCAGGTCAGCTCACAAAGTGTGAATGATGGGAATTATTTAAATTACATGCCAACATTTTTTTTCTCCTCCGTGTGTTATAATGACACAGTCAATAAAACAAAAACCAAAAACAAAGACAGTCATTTAAATCAGCGACAACATGAATATTGCTCATCTATACACAAACAGCTTTGACTTTAAAGATATCGTGGGGAAGTTTACCAGCATACAGGTGTCAAAGGTTAAAACCTCACTTTACCACCTCCTCCCCTGTGTGAACTCAAGTTTTCTAGCTCTATTAAGGAAAAATAAACATTTTTTAACAAGCTGCAGTGCTGACAATTGACGTTGGTTGTTAAATTTTGTGGTTCTCTGATCTCACTTCGAGACACGGACGCAGTGGAGGAATTCCAGAACAATAGGTCTGATTCTTTGTTAAGCTTCCTCGGCTTCTAATTTTAACTAAGACGAGAGGAAGGAGGAGAAGTGCAAAGAAAGACGCCAGCAAATACTTTCCTGCTTTACTGGACAACTCGACATAGCAACAGACACACACACGAACGTGCCGACGCAAATCTGTGATCACACGTCAAAGAAGCTGCTGGAGGGAGGTGGTGTGCCGTTTGAATTTTTTCCCCTTTGTGTAACGAATTAAGATTCACTGCATGGAAGCTTGCACCGATTTGCATTTAGAGGTGTGTGACAAATTAAAGGAAAAAAAAATACATATGGGCTTGGTAAAGAGCTGATGTGCTGTAAGAACAGCACATCTTCAGAGCACCTTGGTATTGACACACTAAGAACTCTACTGAAGGGATGGCCAATTCTCCCAAGTTCATTCTGTTCTCCTAGAGGTAGGGAGTCCTGTCTGGAGGACCAAAATCATACATATTTGACAGCAAAGACCAATCACAGCATTGGTGGCAACAAAAGTTGCCTCAAGGTGCTTTATATTGTAAGGTAGACCCTACAATAATACATACAGAGAAAATTCCAACAATGAGCAAGCACTTTGGCGACAGTGGGAAGGAAAAACTCCCTTTTAACAGGAAGAAACCTCCAGCAGAACCAGGTTCAGGGAGGGCCGGGGCCATCTGCAGCGACCGGTTGGGGTGAAAGGAAGATAAAAGACATGCTATGGACATGCATATGCCTATGACTATGTTCATAACTGAAACCAAGTCAGGAGTCTCAAATTCTCCCTTTAGTTTGTCACCCATGTGCATATTTGTGTGAGTCTGTGTGTATCTGCCTGTGGTGTAGTGTTCGTACTTATGGCGAGCAGCTTGCGTGTACGGAGGAAGCTGATAGCGAGCCTCATGATGGATGCCTTGTCCAGGTGAGCGCTGACGCTGTGGGATAAAGGCAGCTGGTGGGCCAGCTCGTAGAACACCTCCGTCTCTTTGCTGCGCCTGCAGCGCGCTGCATCGCGAGACTTCTCCTTACGTCTCTCTGAGCTGCTCCTGCGCCACAAAACAGACAAATGGTCATTTAAACATGAACAATGACACATAATCATACGTCAAAGGAGCTTGCAAAGAAAAGCGTCTGGACTTCTTTAAGTTGCTTGAAGAACTTAAAGAAGTCCAGACGCTTTTCTTTGCAAGCTCCTTTGACTACGATGACCTGGATGACTGAGAACCTTCACAGACACATAATCATACGGTTACTCTGGAAGTCGGTTGGCTTAATGAGACAGTCGGTCTTCGTTAATAATTATATTTCAGGTTCTTCTGTATCATTCAGCAGTTAATCTTCCATGAATGCACTCACTGTCTGGGGTCTTTAAAATTTCCTACTCGACCTTGCTGCGGGCACACCACAGCATAAAGAAACCAATCTCATAAATCCCCATGTGATTCGACAAGTACCAAATGTGCCCGTTTCAAAGGGGGTTCGCTCACAAGTTCGAATACAATGCATCATTCAGTATAAATACAAAGAAGTGGTTGGTTTATAAAGCTTTTCTGCAGCCCTGAGGTACAATAATTGCTCTTTTGTTTTTTTCCCCCTGAAAAATTAGAACTTACATATTTCCACATCAGAAACAAACTGGGCCATGTGGAAATATCAGCAATATCAGAAATTCACATCAATGATACAACAAATAGAGCTGCAGAAATGTTATTGCGCTGCCTTTGTTTTTGCAACCCAACACACATGAAGTCACTTTTTTGATAAAGTTACGCAAACATATTCAGTATTCAAAAATTGCTTGACTTGCTTGTTAAAGGACTACGATTGAACCTGAATTTCACTTTGTGTGAGCTTGACACCAGTTATTGATCATCATAAACAGAAACATACACCTCAGCAGCTCCTGCTTTTGGTATCGCTTCAAAGCCTATCAGTGTCTGTCAGTACAGAAGGGGACGTCCCTGTTTGAGATGCAGAAAGCCAGTTCAGTTCAGCAGTTGGCAGTCAGGCTGGTTTAAGTTGCAGAAACAGTTTCCGTGTAATGGAAAGAAATAACTTGTATAACGAGTAAAGACACTGCAAGGCAGAACTACAGAAGGAACACAAAAAAGATGTATTTAGAGATAAGAAAACAATAACTTCTTATGACGCGACACGATTTCCTTCACTTCCTGCATGAAGAGATCAGTCACCAGGCCACTAACACAAACACTGTATATCTATGAAAAACACACATATGTACCGGTACTCGCTGAAACAGCACACTTCAAAAATGATCAAAAGATCCTTTTATGAGAAAAAAGTGAAATGTGGAAAAAAATGCATTGAACTTGTTATAAAAGATGTTCATCCTGGCTTCTGATTTGAATACTCACTAAAATTCAGTCCCTAACCAACTAAAGACTGGCTTTTCTCAACCTTTTCCTCTTGATGTTAAAAGAACAATTACAATATCTTAAAAATAACCATCCCACTGGTAACTCATTCACCTCCTGTGTCCACTTTCATGCATATTTTTGTTCAACTTTCTCATTCGTATTTGGATTTAGTGAAACCTATTGAGCAAAATTCAATTTGAACTTTGCCAACAGGAGGATTATACAGCGTGTTTGGAGTCTGTGTTCCATGCGAGGAAAATGGGTTTTAATAGATGTAAATTGGTCTTTAAAAATAAAATTTAAATTGGAAACCTGGTTAAAGACGTGTAGGCAGGTGATTATTTTAATTTCCTCTGGTTAATGCATTTGTTGTTTGAGGGAGAGAGCTTTTGCTCACAGCACCGAGGTTCCAAGATAAAAGCGTTTACTTCAACAATCAAATCTGAAAATCTTTTCATGGCGGTCAAGCTATAGCAAAAATGCCGCCAACAAAGCCTACACAAGAGCGGGCCAAATTATGTCAGCAAGCAGAACTCTGGGTAATTTTCCATGGATATGGTTTCTTTTTTTTGGCTCCAGGCTCTGAAAAAGAAATGCATCAGATTTGGACGTGAAAGCTCAAATAGGCAAACAGTCCTAGTTTAATCGCTGATCCAAGACATCAGCACAACAATCCATATTAGGACATCACACGTGGAGTTTGGCTTTATCTGGGCTCCCTCGTATGCTCAAATTCAACTCTTAGTCACTGGATACCGTCTGCACAACATGTGACTGGTAAGGTTGCGCAACAGGGTTCAGATTTATATGAAAAAGCTGCAAAGCAACAGCAGCAGGGGAAGAAACTGACAGAAGAATGCTGCCGGATGGAATAATAAAACTGTGGTAACATCATAATAGCAGACTCATCATGCTCCATTTAAATCCACTGAATCACCTCTGCTGAAATACCTGGACAGGAACAGCATGATTATGCAACAGGTGTGACTATAAATAAGACAGTGACCAATATGGATACACAGCAGAATACAGCATAGTTTGGTTTTTTTTGCAGTTACTGCAGTTTCTCACTCAACCACCTGAGGATTACTCCAAAAGAGACAATTGTCATAGACTTTCATATTATTTAGAGTCTGTTACAAAAATCAGTTTTCATCTGTATAGCTGTTTAGAATTACTTGGAGGACTTTTTTGTTTTTCTAATTTATTCGTTAAAAATTTTTAAGGCTTAAAAGTTATACTCTCTTTTGCTAGTTTGTTGTAGTTTATTGTATAAATACCCATCTATAAAGTCTTGGCTCCAGTTCTGGTGGTGTAGTACTTTATTTGGGCATTAAAAAGCAGGTATCTGCACCTTAAGTTCATAAAAGTGTATTAGCTTGGCTCTGGGATATCAATTCTCAGGTAAAACAGCATTTAATTCATTTTTTAAGTAACAAAATTCACTTTAAAATTTCTTGAGTAACAAGACTGAAACATTTTTACAATCTCCATCCTAAAATGCAGAAAAGAAAAAACTAAAATAAAAGTTCCGATACAATTAAGTGGGACCTTTCTCATACAGATTTAAATTGAGCATTTTGTTCTTTAACAAGAGCCAAAAACAGGTTAAGTTAAAAAAAAAAAAAAAAAAAAGTGCTGTGAACAAAAAGCTTTTTTACCCTCAGATCTGTGAGCAGCCTCCACGGAAAAGATAACTTTACAAACCACAACAGGCGAGGTGAAGCTCTGCTGAACTTCACATGCCCTCTGTCAGTGGTGACACGATGTGGTTTATCAGACTTGATCACATCTGTGGCAGAACTGCAACATGCAGGGCCAGAAAGAAAATGTAGCAGTGCAGAAGAAACAAATATTTTGGCACCAAGGTTAAAAGGTAAAGAAGCCAGATGCCTTCACACCGTAAAAGATCTCTTCTGAAGCGGAGACTTACAACCCACTGAGATAAGAGAATAAAGTGCCAAATTAAACACCTGATGAAATACTGAACCAAGTGAGACGACTAAAGAAGTGTTTTCTTGCTATGACAAGGTCGAACAACAGAAAACGTCCTGCATGCCCATATAGAAAGTGTACATTGAACCATTCAACCGTTGTGCATACCGATGCTTTACACAACACAGCAGCTAAATGCCAGGAAAAATGGCAGTCGTGTGTGTTCTGGACGCGTTTACATTATTCCATACAGCGGAAAGTACATATAAGAGGACATTTTATCACCACTTGGATCAGATTTACAGTCTCGGTGAAGGAACTCTGATGGGGGTGGGATCACTGCTGTTTTAGGACACTGTGGGGCTTAAAGTGTTTTTACTGACTCTTGTAGATTTCAATATATTACTGGTTTCCAATATTCAGCTTACACTTTATTTAAGATACTTTAGATGACTCTTGGTGAAAAACACTTGCTACCTTTGCATGTGTATTGAGTGGTTTTCACATTTCCATGAGCCCTGGCTCGATGACACATATCCCTTTGCCTCAGGAAGGGCATCCAGGGTAAAAAAAAAAGAAAAAAAAGAAAATTAAAATCTGCCAAATCAAAGATGTGGAGTTGCTCACCGTCATGACCCTTTGTGATTAAGTGTACTGCCAAAAGTGGCTTTTGTTGTGCTGCAATGAAGGGATACTTCAGAAAAACTAAGTTATGATAATACTCAACAGGTGCTGAATGTGTTCATGACCTTCCCACTGGAGACTACAAGACATAAATGCTTATGCATTAACATAAGATCGCTATGATGTACATTTATCAATTTATGTAAATAAATGTTCTGAAAATATATATCCAAAATCAAAGTAGAAATAAAAAGGGTAAATTGGCATTTTATTTTCTATTATCAGAATTATTTTGTCACAACATCGTTGCTATGGAGAGCAAAAACTGCCAAAAGTAAATAATCATAAATTATTGTAACTTAACTAAAACAAATTCTAGAAAGTTTATAACATAAATTTATAGTATTTCTGATTTAATTTGCACTTCTGTTAAAATGACCATAATGTTAATTCCTTATATCTGTTTATGCTCCAGAGACAAATCCCCTCCTTTTAACAGACAAGATTTTTAAAAACATTTTTTTTTTTTTTTAAACAAAAACAGGACCAAATCATCTCTTTTACTTAAACATAAAGCAAGAGCGTTTTCAGTGGTTCGTATTACAAAATTAAACTTTTCCCTGCAGCCAAAATCTGGAGTCCACAAAACGCACAAACTAGAAAATCCAACATGCAAACACACATTAAGGACAAGATAGCATACAATTAACAGGAAAGGCAGAGCACAGAAGCACCATTATCTTATCTCATCGAGTGTTATGTCCCATCAGTGAGTCTCCCTGCTCGTCTCTGAGGTTTAAACTCATTAACCCCGACTGTCAGTCACTCAAAGTCTCATTACTGATGAGCCAGCAGACAGCAGACTGCTTCCACTCAATCAAGCCAACTGAGAGAGCAAACTTCAACTAGCTCCTTGATGTGTGAATGTGTGTTCTTTTGTCTTTGTGTGTGTGTGTGTAGTGTGCCACTCTTTGATTGTCCAGGGCCATTGTTGCTGAAGGTCCCAGCAGACTATTTCAGTACAGAAAACAATGGGAGTCACAGCGCTTCACCAGGGCATTGCAGCCTTCCGATGTACTCACTGACCCCTCGCTCATATTCACAAACGT